ATGGACCATCCAACCATCTCATCCTCTGTTGTCCCCTTCTCCTCCGGCCCTCAATCTTTCCCAGCATCAGGGTCTTTTCCAATCACTCGGGTCTTGCCATCAGGTGGCCAAAGAATCGGAGTTTCAGATGAGTCCTTCCAATGAATATTCAGGACTGATTTCCTTTAGGATGGACTGGTTGGATCTCCTTGCAGTCCAAGGGACTCTCAAGGGTCTTCTCCACCACCACAGATGGTGGATTCATGTCAATGTCTGGCAAAACCACTACAATATTGTAAAGTAAGTAGCCTCCGATTAAATTAATTAATTAATTAACATTGTAAAATATTAATTGATTTAAAAAAAAGCATCTATTCCTCAGTGCTCCATTTTCTTCATGGTCCAACTCTCACATTTGTACACGACTACTAGAAAAACTCTAGCTTGACTATACAGACCTTTGTCTGCAAAGTGATATCCCAGCTTTTGAATCGCTGTCTGGATTTGTCATAGTTTTCCTTCCTGGGAATTCCAGCAGAAACCTTAAGAAACAAGTAGTTGCTCCTTGCCTGTGGCACTGGGAAGACACCTTTTCCTGCGGAAGTCTCGTATGGAAGATGCTCTTCCACCTTTGGGGACACCTCGTCTGCAATGCTTACGCCACCCCTGACAGACCCCAGCCGTTGCCATCAACAGGCATGTCCCTAAAGAAATCCCTTCTTCCCTGTATTAGTCATGTTAGTCACTCAGTTGTGTCCGACTCTTTGCGACCCCATGAAATTAAAAGACGCTTGCTCCCTGGAAGGAAAGTTATGACCCACCTAGACAGCATATTAAAAAGCAGAGACATCACTTTGTCGACAAAGGTCCGTCTAGTCAAGGCTATGGTTTTTCCAGTGGTCGTGTATGGATGTGAGAGTTGGACCATAAAGAAAGCTGAGCGCCGAAGAATTGATGCTTTTGAACTGTGGTGTTCATTGGAAGGACTGATGCTGAAGCTGAAACTCCAGTACTTTGGCCACCTCATGCGAAGAGCTGACTCATTGGAAAAGACCCTGATGCTGGGAAAGATTGAGGGCGGGAGGAGAAGGGGACGACAGAGGATGAGATGGTTGGATGGCATCACCGACTCGATGGACATGAGTTTGGGTGGACTCTGGGAGTTGGTGAAGGACAGGGAAGCCTGGCGTGCTGAGGTTCATGGGGTCTAAAATAGACAGACACGAATGAGCGACTGAACTGAACTAGACTGTAGCTCGCCTGGTCCCTCTGTCCGTGGGATTCTCCAGGCAGGAATACTGGAGTGGGTTGTCATGCCCTCCTCCAGAGGATCTTCCCGACCCAGGGACTTTTTCCCTGTCAGTAGCATCACACAGCCATACTCTGCACAGCTTTCACGGGCGTGAGTCATCTCCTTTTGGAAACCTCAGTCCATCCCTCTTCCTCCCGCAGAGTGTCCAGGCCGCCGTGCCCGCTCCCTGCCAAGCTCCCACAAGCAGAGATAATCCTAACTGCTAAATGGATTACTGTAAATACCCATTTTGCAAGAGCTTAAACCCGGAGGGCAGCCCTGACCACCGAGGCGCCTTCCAGAGGGATGGCGTCGTGGGTGATTTAGGAGGAGCACTAAGGAGGTGATTGATGGGGAAACATCTCCAAGAAGGGAGCTGAGAGGATGCAGGCGGGATTGTGGAAGCGGCTGTGGCATCAGGAAGCAGACAAAACATGGAGCGCAAGCATCATCTCTAGGGTTCGTGGGCATCTCGGGTCCCAGAGACGAGATATGTAGGTATTAGATGATAGGTAGATAGGTAGATAGGTAGATGACAGATAGATACATCTGAGAGGTAGACAGACAGACAGGTAAAAAGACAGATGATAGGTAGATACGATAGGTAGGTAGATGGGCTTCCCAGAAAGCTCAGTTGATAAAGAATCAGCCTGCAATGCAGGAGACCCCAGTTCAATCCCTGGCTTGGGAAGATCCCCTGGAGAAGGGATAGGCTACCCACTCCAGTATTCTTGGGCTTCCCTTGTGGCTTAGATGGTAAAGAATCCGCCTGCAATGTGGGAGACCTGGGTTCGATCCCTGGGGGTTGCAAAGATCCCCGGGAGGAGGAAATGGCAACCCACTCCAGTATTCTGGCCTGGAGAATCCCATGGACAGAGGAGCCTGGCGGGCCACAGTCCATGGGGTCACAAAGAGTTGGACTCTGCTAAGCATACCCAGACACAAAGGGAGACAGACAGACACACAGATTAGATAGACAGACAGACAGACAGACAGACAGACAGACAAGATGCATGGTAGCTAAGATGATAGATATGATAGGCAGGCAGACAGACAAACAGACCCACAGACAGACAGACAGATAAGATAAATGACACTAAAGGTGAATAACAGGTATGATACACAGGTGAAGTGAAGTGAAAGTCGCTCAGCCGTGTCTGACTCTTTGCGACCCCCGTGGACTATACCGCCCATGGAGTTCTCCAGGCCAGAATACTAGAGTGGGTAGACTTTCCCTTCTCCAGGAGATCTTCCCAACCTAGAGACTGAACCCAGGTCTCCCCCATCGGTAAAGAAACCCAGGGAGATTCTTTACTAGCTGAGCCACACAGGAAGCCCGATACATAGGTAGGTAGGTATTCATAGATAGGTAGACAGACAAATAGAGAGACAGATGGATAGATAGATAGATAGATGCTAGGCAAGATGACAGATAGATGTGGTGGGTGGGTAGTTAGGTAGATAAGATAGATGGTAGATAAGACAGATGATAGACAGATAGATGCAATAGGTAGGGAGGGAGATAGACATACAGACAGATAGAGAAGAGAGACTGACAGGCAGAGACAAAGGGAGAATCATCAACACACATCAGAGGTCACACCCCCCTCTTGGTCTAAGCAGGTGTCATCTCCTGCTAATAAGACAAGATGGGCTCTCCTCCCAGAGTCTCAACGATGAGAACATCACCTCCTAGGTGAAGGCAGCCCTTGGTATTCATTCCGGATACGAGGGAGGGGCTGGGGGAAAAGAATCATCGGTTTCCTACAACTCCTGTAAGTGAGTGAAAGTCGCTCAGTCATGTCCAACTCTCTGTGACCCCAGGGACTGTTGCCCCGCCAGGTTCCTCTGTCCAGGGGGTTCTCCAGGCATGCATACTGGAGTGGGTTGCCATGCCGTCCTCCAGGGGAATCTTCCCGACCCAGGGGGAGGAAACCCACGTCTCCTGCATGGACAGGTGGATTCTTTAACCCTGAGCCACCAGGGGTGTCTTGTAGATCAAACTTAGAAACCTAATGTGTTAAAAATTCTCAGTTTGCTGGCACACCCACTTCAGAAGAACTGATGACACCCCCTTCCCCCCCCCACCACCATAAATAGGAATGATACCTCTGAAAGCAACCCCTAGTCCCTCTGAGCGAGGGGGCTTCACACCACCTCCTACTGCGTCTCGCCTGCCTGCAGGAGATGACCACGTGCTGCTCATTTGCTCCTAGAAGAAAAAACGTCTCCAGGCAGTTAATAATGGAGTTCTAGGCTTTCCACGTGGAAAGGATGATCCGGAGCTCCAATGCGTTTGGAAAATCATTCTCAAGGCTGACCTCGCCCATCGTCGACGTCTTCTGGCAGAGGCTGTGCCAGTTCTGCTCGGCAGACACACCAGACCGACGTGGAAGGCTGTGCTCTCCACTGACGTGGAGGAGCGCTGACCTGAATCTAAAGGTTGAGTGTCTGTTTCCAGTTTCTGCGGGTGACTCGCCTCGATCCCTCGGCACTTTCAGAGCCTCCCAGTTCCCAGGCGACAGCCCGGGCAGGGCGGGCGTCTGGGTGGACAAGGACTTCCCGGAGGGTCAGAGTTCAGCAATCAAGGACCAGAATGGTTCAGGGGACATCGTGCTTCTATTCTCAGAGCACATTTGCAAAGGCTGTCCCTCCCCATGGTCACCTTCATGCTCGCTTTTCAAACCTGGTATGCATCTGGAGAAAAAGGGCACGCCGATTCGAAAAGATAACATGCGCCTCGATGTTCAAGGCAGCACGGTGTACGACAGTGAAAACACGGGAGTGAATACCTGAGTGCCCATCAGCAGATGAAGGGACTGGGAAGATGTGGTACATGTATGCGGTGGAATATTACGCAGCCGTGAAGAATGGAATCATGCCATCCGCGGCAACATGGGTCAACCCAGGGAAGATCATACTATGTGAAGGCAGACAGAGAATCAGAAATACTCTATGTTGTCACTTACATGCAGAATCTAAGAAGGAAGTAAAACAAACGAACGAATGTGCCAACACAGAAAGAGACCCACAGATATTGCCAGTGAGGAGAGGGAAGGGGAAACGCAAGACAGCTGATGGGGAATACAAGGGACAAGCTACTATGTATAAAATAGATAATCTAGAAGGATACATTGTACTTGCAATAATACGCTAAAGGATGCACTGTCTAGCACGGGGAACAGAGGCAATATTTTATAATAACCTTAAATGGAGTATGAAAGTGAAAGTGAAAGTGAAGTTGCTCAGTCACGTCTGACTCTTTGCGACCCCGTGGACTGTAGCCCACCATGCTCCTCCGTCCATGGGATTCTCCAGGCCAGGAGTAGGTTGCCATTTCCTTCTCCAGGGGATCTTCCCGACCCAGGGATCGAACCCAGATCTCCCGCATTGCAGGCAGACGCTTTAACCTCTGAGCCATCTGTGACAATTACGAATCACTATGTGGTGCGCCTTAAAGTAATATAAGATTGCAAACCAACTACACCTCAATAAAAAATTAAATCGTAAATACATAAAAGCCAAAATAAAGTAAAATAAAATTCTAACCTTGAATAGCTGGGATTTTCAGGCAGGGCTGAGCTCTGAAAGGACTTCTCCCAAAAAACATCACATTCCCAGATTCTAGACACTGGGACCTAATATGTTTTTGGACATGGACTCAGGCCACGAGAGAAACAAGCTGTCACAATTTTGAAGGATTACGCTTTTTTAATGAGTACCAGTCCCATCACTGTTTAGCGAAGACGGGCGTGTGGCTGGGTCGTGACCGGCTGTTTCTCTGCTGGAACGCAAACACAACAGGGTCAGAATGAAAACGACCTTCGGGAGTTTGCCCTTCAGCATCTACAGACGTGGCTGAGAGGTCCCGGGGGGACAAAGCAGGATCCGCTGTGGCTGTTTAGTCACTCAGTCGTGTCCGACTCTTTGCGACCCTGGGGACTGTAGCCCCGCCAAACTCCTCTGTCCGTGGGGATCCTCCGGGCAAGGATGCTGGAGTGCGTTGCCATGTCCTCCTCCAGGGGATCTTCCTGATCCACGGCTCGAACCCACCTCTCTTGCGCCTCCTGCACTGGCAGGCAGGTTCTTTACCAACTGTAAGTAAGCATGCATGCCACAACTACTGAAGCCCACACACCCCAGAGCTCTTGTTCCACACGAAGAGAAACCCCCTCAACGAGAAACCCATGCACCCCAACTAGAGTCGGTCGCCCCCAGTCGCCGCAACTGGAGGGAAGCCCACGGACAGCAAATGAACACATAGCACAGCCAACAGTAAACAGATATAAAAGGCAAAGGACTGTGAACTCTGCAAGTAAAAAAAGGAAATCTTTAACAGCCTTTGAAAGACAGCAACACCTTCAAGATAACCAGCTTCTCTCAAAGTAGCAAATAAAACACTGCTATGAAAGAAGCTGCAGGAGGAAATGGCCACCCACTCCAGTAGTCCTGCCTGGAAAAATCCCCCAGACCGGGGAGCCTGGCGGGCTACAGTCCACGGGGGTTGCAAAAAGTTGGATACAACACACATGCAAACAAAAGTAAGAAAGATGAACAAATCCTAAAAGATTCTGACAGGATTCCAAGGGAAACACGCTCTTTCTTTTTAAACTTCGCACATCTGGAGCTTCCAGAATCTGTCCATTGAGCATATTTCAAAAATAATGGACGCATCCGCAGCCTCTCCATATGAATTCAAGATGCCCTGATGAGGTGCCGAAGGCTTGGCTCTCGTCCTTGAGAGAGGACGGTTTATTGAAGAGGCGGGAACGTCTTATACAAAGAGTGTAAGATCTCATCTTATGAATTTTCCATGTAGCTTTTCATATCTCCAGATAATTCAAAGAGACGGGTCAATATTATTATTATTCTTTAATAACAGTTTCACCGACAGCCTTAGGTCTCTCATAAAAACCCCTTTGGTGCGGGGAAGGAAAATTTCCATCATTAATAAAAAGCACATGGGTGGGATGACATCAATCTGACTCCTGCAGGGCGATAAGGACTTTGGGGATTCTGTGCAGTTAAAAAAAAAAAAAAAGAAGGAAGCAAAGAGAAAGGGGAGAAGCAACAGCTTCCAACTTAAGAAGCTTAGTTAGCACAGAGGAGGATAAAAGCCAGCAAGGAGGACCTCTTGTAATCGTTATCAAGGCCGATGAGAATGGGGACCACTGTCGGCGACGCTGTCGTCTTTAGGACCTCAGCATCACCACGCCCGTCTTAGACGGCGAGCTGCCGGCAGGGTCTTCCTAAGTCCAGCGTTGAGCGTCCGGCCGTCCCTCCCAGACCCCAGGGTCCTCCCTTCCTTCCAGGCTCCCCATCCGCCCACGTCATGACTCACGTCTTGACCACAGACGTCCCCTGCCCTGCGCACCACCGCTTGCCACCCACTCCTTGCAGGGTGGGGCGTCTCCCCTACACCCTGCTCTGCCCTTTTCTCCTCCGGCGCTTCCATCAACAACGCTGCAATAAATACCAGATGTCGGATGGGGCTGGACTCTAAAAAAAAAGAAGAAAAGAAAATTTAAAAGGACATTGTCACAAACAGGTCGGCCGGCAAAAGCCACAGCGTGGAGGGTGGTTGGTTCCGTTCGTCCCAGACTGACCCTTCTGTTGAAGATGGTCTCACAGCATAAGAAGCTACGGAGAGAGTTCTCTTCACCTTTTGCTTATTATTTCTTTTTCTTTAATTGCAAAGTAAGAGTGAACGTTGCTCAGGGGTGCCTGACTCTTTGCCGCCCCATAGACTATACAGCCCACGGCACTGTCCAGGCCAGAATACTGCAGTGGGTAGCCTTTCTCTTCTCCAGGGGATCTTCCCCACCCAGGGATCGAAGCCAGGTCTCCCACATTGCAGGGGGATTCTTTACCAGCTGAGCCACAAGAGAAGCCCAAGAATACTGGAGTGGGTAGCCTATCCATTCTCCAGGGGATCTTCCCAACCCAGGAATCAAACCAGGGGTCTCCTGCCTTGCAGCCGGATTCTTTACCAGGTGAGCGGCCAGGGAAGCCCTTAATTGGAGGAGATCTACCTGAGCCAGCCATCCCACTCCTGGGCATATAACCCTGAGAAAACCACACCTCACCAAGACACATTTACCCCAAGGTTCACTGCAGCACAATTTATGACAGTCAAGACGTGGAGGCAACCCAAGTGTCCATCGACAGAGGAACAGGTGAAAAAGATGTGGTGTGTTTATACAACGGAATGTTACTCGGCCCTGAAAAGGAGTGCAACCGAGTAATCTGTAGAGATGTGGACGGACCTAAAGTCTGTCATACGGAGTGAAGTAAGACACAAAGGGAAAGAGAGTCGTGGATTAACATGCATTTGTGGAATCCAGAAAAACTACAGATGAGCCTTCTTTTCTGCTTCTCACTCTTTTTAAAAGCACTTGGTAGGCGAGTTCTGTGGCAACCCAGTGGTTAGGAGTCTGACCCTTCACTGTTATGGCCTGGGTTCAATCCCTGGTTGGGGAAGTAAGATTCTGCAAGCCTTGGGGTAGGCAAAAAAAATTTTTTTTAATAAAAATTGTGATAAATAATTCAACATGTGAGATTAATTATAGAGTGCTCATTACTTAGAGAACTGGCGAACCAGAAATACAACGGAAAAAGGTGCTTCTCCAAAGAGCCTTTTGAAAGATACCCAGAAGATCATGTTGTAAAACTGTAGCGAGAATCCAACGAACGCCCCAGAGAGAAGAAATAGAATGGAAGAGGAGGAAAGAGAGACTCTCTGCACCCGTTAACAGCTGAAAATTCCCCCCGAATTGAAGAATTATATTAAAGCCTAAATGAAACCAACCCAAGCAGGTCTAACCACCCTTAAATCTGATCTGTTGCTCAGTCATGTCCGTCTCTTTGCAACCCCATGGCCTGCAGCACACCAGGCTTCCTCCCCTTTCCTTCACTATCTCCCAGAGTTTGCTCAAACTCACGTCCAACAGACTCAGTGGTGCATCTAATCAAACCCTAGCTGGAGGTTATCGAGCGAATATAATGCTGGTAGAAAGACAGCGTCATGAAAGGAAGGCATCTTTCTCACATTATGGTCTTGAGATGCTCAGAACCCAGGGGAGTATTCCGTTCCAAGGTACGGACCAGACATGGGATGTTGGGAGCCCAGAGCACCTCGTGTAAAGACTGTCAGTCACAGTCAAGAATTCCAAGTTGGGTCCTGAAGAGTGTGTTCGTGGGCTTGCCCCGGGTGGGGGCCCAGTGGTGAAGAATGCGCCTGCCAGCGCAATGGACGCAGGTTCGATTCCTGGTCCGGGAAGACCCCACATGCTGTGGAGCAACAAAGCCCGTGTGCTCTGTAACAAAAGATGCCACCGGAGTGAGAAGCCTGCACACCACAAGTAGAGAAGAATCCCTGCACACTACAACTAGAGAAAGCCCTTGAGCAGCAACAAACACCCAGCACAGCCAAAAATAAAATAAAGTGCAAAACCTTACAGAAAAGGAGTGTGTTTTTAACACCCCCCCCCCCAGAAAAAAACCCAGTGGGTCCAGAAAGACACAGGAAGGACTTTCTAGTGACCTAGATGTTCTAGTGCATCTTGATCTGGCCCGATCCTTGGGACAGACTTGAATTTACAACAAACTCTACAGAAGGTGACAGAGTTTGCAACGAGCCCGACCATCGTCCAACCCAAGAGCATAAGGTCTGGCCATCCAGATCATCACAACATCCGACGGGTGGCCTTGGAGACAAGCGATTCTGGAAATTTTTACACGCAGCTGGTCAATCCCTGCTCTGACCTTTGGAAACTGACCACAGAAGGCTTGGACCATGAGCTGGTATCCGTACGGAGGAAAAGTTCCAGTGACTCGGTAAGGGGAGCCAGACTTGTCTGCTAAGTCATTCAGAACCTTGGATCAGTCCAAACCCTGTCAGATGTGCAATGTCTTTTGAAGTATTTCCTTTGCATGAATGATAGACTCTGCACTATTTCATCGCTTGAAGGGGACAAGAAAATGCAAACACATTTAGGTAGGCAAGAAAAATTTTTAAAAAAAACTACACATTTTGGAAAGATAAACCCCAAATCCGGCATTATATGAGTAATTCACTTGAAAGAGGGCCAGTCAAATGGGGAATTAGGGATATTCTGAGATCATCTGAGGATAAAGCACGCTTGGCTTTTAAGATGTTCGGTTTGTTTTGAAAGAAGAGGGTTTTGTTGAAAGCATCCAGATAATTGCACTTAATCTGAAATTCCCATGTGCGATCCTGTTTATAGATGATAAAAGCATTCACTATCTCCACGTGCGTTGTCAGGCAGACTCTAGTTTCTAGAAACCTCAGATCTATAAAGGAAGATAACCTCATGTCTCAAAAGAGCTATAAAACAGGTGGGCTTTGTTCACCTCTAAAGTAGAAGAAAAAGTTTCCTTAGCAACTCGAACCAGAGGCTCAACTTGGACCAATCGTGGCCGATGTGTTCTGCTCCTTAAATGACAGTTCATGTGGCTAGATACTACTGTCAACCAACTTGTTTGGGATCTTAACAGTCAACGCGAAAGGAAATCAACCCTGAATACTCACTGGAAGGACTGATGCTGAAGCTGAAACTCCAATCCTCTGGCCGCCTGATGCGAAGAGCTGACTCATTGGAAAAGTCCGTGATGCTGGGAGAGGCCGAAGGGAGGAGGAGAAGGGGACGACAGAGGATGAGATGGTTGGATGGCATCACCGACTCAATGGACATGAGTCTGGGTAAACTCTGGGAGCTGGTGACGGACAGGGAGGCCTGGCATGCTGCGGTCCATGGGGTCGCAAGGAGTCGGACACGACTGTAGGGAATCGGCATGCATGCATGCACAGTGCTTTGCTGATGCCTTTTAAAGCACCGTTAAATTTCAGGGTATCAGGTCTGTCCTCTGTTCCACACCAGCATGTGTGGAAACACACTCACGGGACGATGTTTCAACATGCCGCGTGTTTAAAGAGTTTCCCCACTGTCACAGGCCGAAGTCATGATTTAGGATAACTGGTGAGCACACATTTCAAAAAGAAAAAAAAAAAAAAAGAAATCATTATGTACCCTCCAGAAGAATATCCGCTGCACAAATGCGCTGCATTTCACTTCAAAGAGCCAAGTCAAAAATGGGGAAGATTTGTTTCTGACATAAACGGGTGCTGGGTTCACTAGAAGGAGTTGAGAAAGCTTGGACGTAAGGAAAGTCTTAGATGGACGGTTGTTCAGCCACTCAGTCGAGTCCGACTCTTTTCCACTCTATGAACTGTAGCCCGCTAGGCTCCTCCATCCATGGGATTCTCCTGGCCAGAAGACTGGAACGGGTTGCCATTTCCTCCTCCCGGGCATCTTCCCGACCCAGGGATCGACCCTGGGTCTCCTGGGTCTCCCGCACTGCAGGCAGGTCCTTTATCCGCCGAAATGTATAACTAAATCACACTGTTGTACACCTGAAACTAAACACAATGGTGCACGCCAACCGTACTTCAACAAAGTTTGCAGAAACAGCAAGGCTTTTCTCTACAATGAATTTGGACCGAATCACACTTTCTTACGTGAACAAGATGACAACATCCAAGATGCTAAGAGAGAGACAGGTGAGAGAGACGAAGAGACGGCAGCCACTGGCTCTTCCTAATATATAAAGGCATGTCACTAACCTCTTAGGAGACTCGGTAAGCCGTAAAGTCACCTACATCCTGGGACAGGTTTGTACCAACATCCTGGGACAGGCTTGTACCATCTCCCACTGACGCCTATGGGAACAGAAGCAGAGAGATCAGGTAACGTGGCCAAGTTTCCACAAGCCCTAAGTGTGGACATCCTTACAAGAGCGGGTCTGCAATATGGCGAAGACAGAGGAACGCTCCAGTTCCCTACTGACCACCCCAGAGACTTCAGGGGAAAGAGACTTTTCTCTGTGCTTTCTTACTCTTACAACTTTCATTCGCCTGCATTTAAATCACCAGTGCAATTTCCATCGGACCGTCTGAATCTCCGGTGGATGTGGCGTTCAGGTCTGAGCGCCCCATAAAGTAGGGCGCGTTTAAGGCAATCGATGTTCTCGGAAGGAAAATGCTGGAGGACAGATGTCAACGAAACACAAAGTGAGCACATGTGTGCTGAGTCGAGAGTGTCCTGTTTTTGTGGGGGTTTTGTTTTTTTATTTCTGCAGTAACATAGCAATGCTCTCACACGCTCTAGATGGCTTTGTCCACCTGTCTAGTACTTGATGAGCTTGGACAAGGCATCTTAAGCCACCCACCTTCAATCCTACACACGTGTGAACTGCAAAGATGTGGGCCTTTATTTTACTGGCCAAATACTGCTGTCCTGTCCCACTGAGGTCCGTGCGTCCCGGCCAATAACAAGCACATCCCAGGTGTGAGAAGAACCAGGTGCTGCCAGATGCCTAGACCCTCCCCTCGGGGCACGTGTGCAAGCGCGGACACGCCGATTCTGAGGTGGGCTGTTTCAAAATGTCACTTCACGTAAAAACATGTTTTGAAGGTAGCAAAACGCAGCAGACACGCAAAGAAAGTCCAGCCCCATCCGTGACCCAGAGAATGTGATGAAAAGGGAAAGCCAATCTGGAACGATCACAGAAAAAAAAAAAAAACTGGGGAACCTACACTATTTTTATTCAAAAGCGAGAGTTTGGAAATGGTCTGAAACCCTGGGACCACCGCCTAAAATTTTCCACTTTCCTCAGCCAGACTAGAAACTGCATTAAATATTTTGTTTTTAAAAAAAAGTGTTTTTTTTTGCACCAAGAAAAATACGTCCATCAGTTCATCATAGCGTGTCATGAAGCACAGGCAGAATGGAAAAATCAGAAGCCAGCCATGGCTTCTCAGGTGCTGCCCAAACGCAAACAAAATGAGCCAGGGTTGCAGGTGAGACAGTAAGATTTCCAGGCGGCATCAACACTTCTGGTCCTCATCTGAGCTGGAAGGAAGGGACTGGCTACCTGGAATGTCTTCAAGGTTGGGTCTTTCCTCCGCAACAGCACCAAGTCTCCGAAAAAAAACAGTATTTCAAGCATTGCTTTACTGCCAAATGAGCTAAGAAGCCACAAAGAGGTCAAATTCCTGGGGGCATGGAGACCACGCTTGGAGACGTTACCAGAGTTGTCACAATAAAGTACTCCAGATGAGGCGGGCTGAAACAACAACTATTTGTGTCTCCAAAACCAGGCCAGCCTAAAGGAAATCAACCCTGAATATTCACTGGAAGGACTGATGCTGAAGCTCCAATCGTCTGGCCATCTGATGCAAAGAACCGACTCACCGGAAAAGACCCTGATGCCGGGAAAGATTGAAGGTGGGAAGAGAAGGGGACGATGGAGGATGAGATGGTTGGATGGCATCACCGACTTGATGGACATCAGTTTGAGTAAACTCTGGGAGTTGCTGATGGACAGGGAGGTCTGGCGTACTGCAGTCCATGGGGTCGCAGAGAGTCGGACACAACTAAGTGACTCAACAGCAACAACAATTTATTTCTCTGGATGTGCTGAGACTCAGCTGAAGGATCTTCGATCTTAGCTACGGCATGTGGGATCTAGTTCCCTGAACCAGGGATTAAACCCGGGCCCCCTGCATTGGGAGCAGGGTCTTAGCCGCTGGACCACCAGCAAAGGCCTAGTAAGAAAGTGACTCTTAAATCCGACTGGCTGAAATCTACCGAACACATAAAAACATCTCTCAAATCCCCGAAGGCAAAGACTCTCATCTGCCCTCTCGTGGACATGATTTGAGCCAAAAAAAAGACACTTCAGGCCCGTGACACAAAATAGTTTTCGATTGCGAATGGGTTATTTCCTGCATAAAGAGAAAGGAGAACTCTGCTCGTGTCTCTTGTTAATTTATATAGTTGTTTTAATCAGGCAGAAAAACCACAATGGCCGATGTCAGCAGATTCTTTGTATACAAATGACTGATACGCTGGAAGTTCAAATGACTCTCGAGTAAACTATTTCTTCCTTTCTGCGGGGAGATTAGGCAATGACGGATTTTTTTTTTCCTTTCAATGTTCAACTTGGCCATGTTTAAATCTGCTGGGTGTACTTTACCTTTGCAGAGTTTTGTAAGATTGGACAGCGGCTACACAATCCATCAAAAACCACAGAATCATGCCTGGAGCCTGTGGGGAAGTTTTTAACAATGACTAGAAGCATCCTGAGAGGTGCAAAGACCCCCGAAGCCAAGAGACAGAGGAGGGGTAGGGTTTTCCCATACCTACATCATTCTGCTTGGTTGCTGTTAGGTCTAAGCCGTGTCCAACTCTCTGCGACCCCATGGACCGCAGAACACCAGGCCTCCCTGTCCATCACCAACTCCCGGGGCTTGCTCAATCTCATGTCCATCGAGTCTGTGATGCCATCCAACCACCTCATCCTCTGTCGTCCCCTTCTCCTTCTGCCTTCCATCTTTCCCAGCATCAGGGTCTTTTCCAGTGAGTCGGTTCTTTGCATCAGGTGGCCAAAGCGTTGGAGCTTCAGCATCAGTCCTCCCAGTGATTTTTTGATTATTATTATTATTATTCCTGGTTCCGCAAGCATTTCTCGGAACTGAAAAAGTATTTCGTAATACTTCATCGCTGAATGTGAGCTTACTTGGAGAGCCAGGGACTTTCCGAAGTGTTGGAAAGGAACGTCTCGGATGCAAGAAGTAGGAGAAAGAAGGTCCTGGTCTGTTTTGTCCTTTCTGGTTGCAGGGCATGACAGGGAAGAGACGAAAATGCGTCATATTCTAAAGGGAGCTCACCGTGTTCACCCTGACCCAGTGGTCCTCGATGGACACGAGGGAACCTCCCGGGGACACTTGCCAATGGCTGCAGCTTCCTGGGTGGCTCAATGCCACAGAACCCTCCTGCCAACTCAGGACACATAAGAGACTCAGGTTCGATCCCTGGGTGGGGAAGATCCCCTGGAGGAGGGCATGGCACCCCACTCTAGTATTCTTGCCTGGAGAACCCCACGGACAGAGGGGCCTGGCAGGCTGCCGTCCATGGGGTTTCCAAGAACTGGACACGACTGAGCGACTATCACTTTCACTTTCCACTTTCACTGTGCGTGTGTGAAGTCCCCGCAGTCGTGTCCGACTCTGTGCGACCCCGTGGACGGCAGCCCACCAGGCTCCTCTGTCCACAAGATTCTCCAGGCAAGCATTCCGGAGTGGGTTACCACGCCTTCCTCCAAGTCACCACCGTTTATCAAATCTAAGCCATCTGTTTCTTATCATATATCGTGACTTACCTATTCTATTTAGCCTTGTCTATTTCTGTATCAGATAGATAGATGGATAGGTAGTTGCACTTAGAATGCAACACTTTTGGGAGGGCCGCAGAGTAACACCGTGATGGTAGAACCAGCTGTGAGAGGGCTCAGCCAGGGATGGGTCCGACTCCCTCTGGATTCCCTCTCGTGGCCAGCGCTGCCAGGCACCAGCGGGGGTGGGGGCGTCTCTCGGGCAGCGCCCCTGCCCACCGTACCCTGCCCCCATCCCCCCCTACCCATCCCCCTGGCCAGCCTGGCTTTGCAGAACCGGCCGCCTTCCCTGGCCCCTCAACACGTCTGGCTCCACTGTTCATCACGTCTTCTCTGTTTGCCGGTGATACGTCCAGCCCTCCCGGACCGCCGCTTCCCCACCCTCGGAGCGCTCCCAGACACTCCACCGGTCTTCCTCCATCGGCGGGTCCCGGGGACCTGGGGACCAACGCTGGCGGTCACGACCGCTCTGCGAACGTCCGAGCAGATGCTCTCGCTCCTCAGTTCTTCTCACAGCTGCTACTGAGGGAGTCCTCACGGAGGGTGCGGACTCTCCACCCAT